ATGACCGTTAGCCATTTTTAAAGGAAAGTCAAAGCCAGAACAGCGATGTTCACCATATGAACAGCGCTGTCGGGCTAGATTTCAGCAGATCCACTTTTATTTGATTTCCACAAATCAAGCTAATCAACCCCAATCTTTTCCCAACCGTTGCACCTTGTTTTTGGGTATAAAAAGGGGTCTCTTGGGTCTACTTTTCATATCCATTCCTCACACAATTCATATCTTTACATTGCATCATTTCATAATCTTTTTACATAGCTTTTTAGAGCCATTTCTTGAGGAATTGAGTGTGTTCTTGATCTAAATTAGTTTACTCATATTCTACTCTTTAAAGAGAGTTTTTGTTCTTGAGTGATTAAGTGTTGTGAACACTTTAAGGGAGGTTTGTTCCCTTGGTTGTACGAAGGAAGGGCATATTCCTTCGGGTTGAAGTCTTGGAGTGCGGTATCTCCGAGCAAGTGTATTGAGGCTCGTGGGACTCGAGTTCTCAGGTTGTAACGGTTTGTTAAGCACCCGTAAGCTTAACGGAAGTAGTGTAGCTCGAGAGAGTCTCTCGGGAGACTGGACTAGCCACACGTTGTGGTGAACCAGTATAAATCTTGGTGTGCTCCCTTTACTCCTTTTTATTCCACTCTTTACTTTATCCTTGCGATTTTTATTCCGCGAAAATTTAAAAACATTCTCGTGCCTCACTATTCACCCCCCCCCCTCTAGTGAAGGTGTTGGAATGCATGAGTTCAACCCTTTCTATGTTGTTAAGTGTTGATTCACAGGTTTTGATAATTGACAAACACAATTTATTCAAGTCAAGATCAAAGTGCTACAACGACAAACACGAAGACTTGGAGTGCCATTCCTTGAAGTATTCAAGAAGGTGCACAGAATTTTATTGGAGTCCAAGACGCGTTCGGAGCGCCTAACGGAGGACTCGGAAGAGTAGAAGTTTTCCGAAGACTTTTTATTTATTTGAGTCGTAGGAATTATTGTAAGGATGACAAAAATATATTCTCTCCAAAATTATTTTTATGAGAGTTAAAATAAAAATTATATTTATTTTTTGGAGTCAGTTGAAAAATCTTTTTAACTATTCAAATAGTTTTTATTGAGTCAGTTACAAAAGGTGTGCCAAACATTTATCAAATATTTATTTTGATATTATAAAATATTTTTGGTAAGCAAAAATATTTTATTCAAATATTTTTTGTGTACATCGTTTGACACACAAAATAATTTTTGGACTCCTTTTCTCTCCCTTGCTCTCATTCATTGAACAAACAGGGAGGAGCGTCTCCCATATTCTTGTTGTCCGAAACAACGAGTTAGAAGCCAAAAATGCTTCCAATCGCACTTGGCTTGGGCCCTTTGTGTTTGCGCATTATTTCTATCTTAATCGATTATACTTCGTTGATTAATCGATTATCCTTCGATCGCATTCAATCATCGATTAAACATCCTTGTTTAATCGATTAGTTGCTTGTTGCGTTAATTTGCTCAGTTCTTGAGGTTAATCGATTTTTTCCTTCATTTTAATCGATTAGTTCACACAGACCCTTCTAATCGATTAATCCCTTTAATTTAATCGATTTTCTTTCATATGCATTAATCGTTGCTGATGATGCATTAATCGATTATTGGTGATGCATTAATCGATTATTATGCTGCATCTTTTCTGCACAGCTTCTTTTCTTGGACCAACGGATATATTTCTTCACCTCCTATTTAAACACTCTTCCTTGGTCATTTTTCTCAACAAGAAACACTCCAATACTCCCCATTCTTGAGGTGATAATCCTCCATTCAATTCTTCCTCAAATTAATATATTTTGAGAGAAAACTAAGTGTTTTCAAGAGAGTGTTCTTGTCATCCATTAGAGCTTTAATCATTTCTCATTTCTACTCTTTTGAGAGTTTATGTTGAGAGGTTGAAGAAGATTGTTCTTCTTGTTGTTGTATAAGACTTATGAAACTTAAGTCTTGGTTGTGAAGTCTTGTAGAGGGCATATCTACGAGCGGTTGTGTCGAGGCTTGTGGGATTCAAGTTCTCGAGTTGTAAACGGTTTGTTAAGCACCCGTAAGCTTAACGGAAGTAGTGGTAGCTTCGAGAGAGTCTCTCGGGGAACTGGACTAGCCACGAGGTGGTGAACCAGTATACATCGGTGTGCTCTTTGCCTTCTCTATTTTATTTCCGCTGCACTTACGTTTATATTTTTAATCCTGCGAAAATCGGTAAACATTCTCAACAACTCTATTCACCCCCCCTCTAGAGTTGCACGCCTTGTCTAACAGAAGGGCACCAATTCTTACAGGATCTAATCTGATCTGAATGGATCTGATCTGATCTGATATGGTCTGATCTGATTAATTATGATTTAATTTTGATTTTCAAATCAATAATTTAATTTGACTTTATAATAACATTTGAAAATTGTAATGATAATTCATATTATAATATAATCAATATTTTTTATTTAATTATTATTTTTTAATAAAATAAAAATAGTTAATTCATATATTAGAATAATCATTCTTATTATAATGTAATAATATTTTTTATTTTATGATTATATTTTTGTAAAATTAGAATTATACATTAGAATAAATATTGAATTTAGATATACATTAAAAAGTATTTTAAAATATCTCATCCTTATAAAAGATCAAAAGTTTAAAAACTTAAATTACAAGTAGCAATAAAAATATATTTTAAAAGTAGAATTAGATTGACATTGTCAATGTATTTTAAAACTAATTTTTCCGACGTCTAATAATTAAGGATTACTTTCTCAGTTTTCTATTTAACCTATTTCTAAAGTTTATTCTTTTTCATTTTTAAGAACAATACTAATGATGATGATGATGATGATGATGATGATGATAATAATAATAATTATAATAATAATAATAATAATAATAATAATAATNATCATTCTTATTATAATGTAATAATATTTTTTATTTTATGATTATATTTTTGTAAAATTAGAATTATACATTAGAATAAATATTGAATTTAGATATACATTAAAAAGTATTTTAAAATATCTCATCCTTATAAAAGATCAAAAGTTTAAAAACTTAAATTACAAGTAGCAATAAAAATATATTTTAAAAGTAGAATTAGATTGACATTGTCAATGTATTTTAAAACTAATTTTTCCGACGTCTAATAATTAAGGATTACTTTCTCAGTTTTCTATTTAACCTATTTCTAAAGTTTATTCTTTTTCATTTTTAAGAACAATACTAATGATGATGATGATGATGATGATGATGATGATAATAATAATAATTATAATAATAATAATAATAATAATAATAATAATAATTTTGATGTGATCTGATTTTAATAAGTCCTGATCTGATCTGATCTGATTGGATCTGATCTGATCTGATTGGATCTGATCTGATCTGATTTGATCTGATCTGATCTGATTCGATCTGATCTGATCTGATTTTATTAAAAATAAGAAAAAATAAGTTGAACGGAACGGGGCCTAAGGAGGAAAAGAGAAAAGAAATAGGGAAAACTTTGAGCTTTAGAGGGGAAGATTAGACATAACAAATTAAGTCTTTGATTAAATATTATATTAAAAATACAATGCTAATTTCAGTTTTAAGTTACAAAATTTAACTAAAATAATCTTATATATTTTGAAGAAAACTCCCTCCATCTCAGAACGAATGCTACATAATGCAAAACAAATCGAAATTTTAAGTTTTTTGAACTTATTTTATTTAAAGATTGGTATAGAAATAAAAAATGTTTACATATTTAAAAAATTATGTAAAAGTTTTTCCAAAATAAGAGGTTACAAGAATAATAGTTTATTTTATCAAATAATCAATGATAACGCACAAATAAATAAATTTTTCGTAATTTTTAAATAGTGAAGTGTGATATTCTTTTTAAGACAAAAGGATTATATGATGAATTGTATGGAAAAAATAGATTTTATCCTAATTTCATCCAATTACAATAAATTTTATTGATTTGGGAGTTAATTTGATTAGTTTCAAACCTATTCACTAACTATTACTCAATAACATTAGATGTTAGTGTTAGCGTTTTGAAAAGCTCTCTGGCGATAGCGTTTAGTGCTATCATTTTTAAATTTGACCTACACTGTTAAACTTAGATGTAAAATTAATTATATTTGACTCTATTAAATTTAATTTTATCTAATTTCAACCAAATACAATCAAATAGTTTATAATTTTTTACTAAACTGAATATAATTCACTTAATTTAATCAAATTTCACTCAATTTCGCCCAACTGTGTTCAATTAGAGCGTAACTAAATTTTAATTTCATCAAAAATAATTTTAAAATCATTTTAATTATATTAAATTTATATCTTAATTAAATATATATATATATATATATATATATATTCATAATTTGTAGTCCAAATTTGTAATATATGACTAAATATTCAAAAAAGTTTGGGTGGAGATAATATAATTAGAAAAAATATAAAATAATATGAGGTGTTGAATTGATGATAGATTGATAAATGTGATGAAGCATAAAAAGAAACATAGATAATTAAATTTCAATTAGAAAATAATATGTATCCAAAATAAATTTGATTGAAAATTATCTGAACTAAAATTTATCCGAAACATAAATATATCTAACCGAACTAGATCCAAAACTGAAAAATATTCGATCCAAATTGAATCTAACCCGAATCTATCCGAACCGATTGATATCCGAACTGTATCTAAACCGACTTGGAACCAAACCGAAATCAAAAAATGTATTGAACCGAATCAAATCTGAACCGAAATTAAATCGATCCAAACTGAACCAAACCGATAATATCACATATCCGAAAGATATCCGAACTGAAAAAATCTAATCCGGAACCGATCCGGTTAACCCGATTGCCACCTCTACGTGTAGATCGAACTTTTAATATATGGATTATGGAGTATTATTTTCATTCCCCCCATAAAAATTATGGATTATATGACTTCACTTTGACGGGATTTAAGAATCATATTCAGAACTTGTCCAGGCTTGAGTGATAGGAAGTCTTTTCTCAAGATTCAAGAGGAAGTTCACGCAGGTTCGAGCCCGGCAGAGATAAAGACGTTGGCTCTTTATTTGTCATTAAGTTGAGAAATGTATGAACAGATATCATATTCTAATAGAGTCAATAGCATTCAAAAAAATCATATTGAAATATTAGAAGTGCGTATTTAAAATTTATTCAAAGAGATATTTGTTTTAATTAACACATGTGCATTTCTCAAACAATCATGTTGCTTAGCATACTTCTAATTTAGTCTGCTCTTGGTTCCTAATTTAATTTTTATTTTCACTATTTATAGGATCAAAATATATTTTATTTCTTTAATAATTTACTTTAATCATTTTCAAAATAGCGTAATTGTGTCACCTCTTATTGTGAAGGGTTTTTATGTAAGTTTCAAGTATATAAATTTTACTCTCTCCCTTCCA